CTACTGATGGAGAGACAGGGTGAGACCCAGAGTCGTTCCTGCCCTGTCTACACTGCAGGAAGCGCCTAGATAGGGAGCATGGTTCTGCTGTGGGCAGATTCCTCCTTCCCTGCCCAGCTCCTCTCCCACCTGCCTTGTCTCCCCTGATGGCTGAGAGCAGGAGCACTGCATGCTGCAGAGCCAGGCTCCCTGCATAGCTGCTCACTGCAGCGTGGGACCGGAGTAGCTCTGGAACTCCCCGGGTGCCTGCTACAGTTGCTTGTGACTGCTCCAGCTAGGAGCTGCTCTACATGGAGCGCAGCTGGGTGGAGATCACAGCAATAGGGTGCAGATTCCTCCTTCCCTGCCTGGCTCCCTGCCAAGAAAGGAATGGGAGGAGGGAGGCAGGCAGGGATTCTGATGCTGTCCTTGCCCTAACTGGGCTCCCCACACAGCTGCATCTCACAGCTTCCAACTGTGATACTCGATGCTAAGTCAAAGCTTTATTTCTCCCAAGATGAACAGGAGAAAAACCTTGTGTTGGAATCGAGTAAATACAGTAACACATTCCATTCCCCTGCCGGAGTAATTCATACCAAAATCCTACCACTGAAACATCCCTGACTCTAGGGAAGTCTGAATTTGGAATGAACTTTGCTCCCTGGGCCCATGTCTAATATGCTGTCGTCGCTGGTATCTCCTAAAGTCAGAGCCTCAATAGCTAGATCTCCCGCTTGTTTGTCTTGGCAGGATTTCATCTCCATCTCTTTTATGGAGCCCGAGTCCCAGACAAGGACATTGGCCTCCCGGAATGACACGACGGCGCTGCAGCTAGGCCAGCAATGTGCTGAGAAGTTTGAGGTATCAGATCCCCAGGACTATGGGCTCTTTGTTGAGGTGGACAACAGATGCCTGCAGCTTGCTGATGATGCCTTCCCTCATCACATAAAATCCTACTTGCTGAAATTTGAACCCAAGAAAGATTTTCACTTTATTTATAAAGCAAAAGCCAGTGAAGAAACCCATGTTCTAGTCATCAAAGAGCCAGACTTTTTATAGTGGGAGAACTCTTGTACTGTGTGTGGAGGTATCTCTGAAGGACTGAGACAGGTTATCTCATGAGAGCTTCTGTCACTAACATCAGAAGCTACTGGGGGCTCAGCCTTTTAGCAGGGGAGGGCAGGATGCTAAGTATAGATGCTGTCTGATTCCAGGGCATTTCTCAGGAGAATTCAGCTGCAGAAGTAAATGCAGCTTTCATGGGAATGTTCATACTTAAACTTGAAGTGTTAAACCTCAAAACCTCTGTATGCCAATAGATAAACTCTGCATATTATAAGTAGCCAATGGAGCTTTATGCCAGTTGCTCCTGAGTTTCTACAGTAGGGTGAACAATTGTCCCATAACAACCTGAATGGCAACCTCCATGCAGAGTGCCTGTACAAGGCCTGTGCATACGTTAAGTCCTATTTTTAGGGCTTAACTGGTGCCTGTGCCCAGTGCTGGCTCTCTGGACAAGGCTGAATTGAATAAATTCTGGGCCATGGTTGATATATTCAGTGGCATAGGATTGTGTTATGCAGCAAAACTCCATACATACCTTGGCATCTCACACATGTGAAATATGCACGCTAATACTGTACATGCACTTGTAATCCCTTCTATACAGTACTTTCACTGAAAAATGGAACTTATGCATTTTCACTGGTGCATATTTGCAGATTGAAACATGTCTCTCTCCTATTAGATGTACAGTAGTTTTAATTACATCTGTTGTATGATAATGTCCAGCTAAATGTATTTATTTCCACTTATGATATGTTATAATCACTGCAAAATAACATTTTAGTTGTGGAGAACTTTATAGCATAAAAAGGTTCAAGTGAAAAGCAAGGCCCAACACAGCAGGCTCTGTTTTATATCAAATGGATCTGTGAAGGGGCACAAGGTCAAAGAAGTTAAAAAAAAAAAAAAAACCTTTCTCTTTTTACCCAGTATTGGATGCTTCTGTTCCGTGATCTAATCATATCATCAGCCCATGCTGTATTATAACATGAGTAAATCCATACTATTACAAACTGAACTTGCCAATGCTCCTGCTTTCTCCAGTTCTCTATTCAGGGGTTCAGAGCCCACCACTGAAATCTCACTGCAGGTTTGATTTCCTGTAAAAACATCCCAGTACAAAAGCACATGCCTGCACTAACCTCAAACAGGTTTTCTGCCTCCTCAGTGAAGAATGAAAATGGCAGTCATCGATTTAAATGCAGGCTTGAATCCATCATTGGCCTGATTTCAGTCTTTAGTCAGGCAAAGTTCCCCTTAATGTTAATGTTCTTACAGGAACCAGTTCTCCCTAGGCAAGATGCATGTAACTTCCATTGCAGCAGGGGTATCTGATCCAAGAACCACAGGACCAGGCCAAGTGCCAGGAAAACCCCCCACAAAGTTATGCTTAGAAAAGGGGTCGTTATGCAAGATGCAAGTGATTTAATTCAACTTACTGCCAGCTTCAACTGGCATATAAATGTTTGGAGGGGCAGGAGGATTGGCCTGGGTTCCATAATTCTCACCACATTTTCATATATACTTTCAAGGGGCCCCTGCCTTGTATTGGAGTCACCAAGTATAGAAGGAAATGAGGATGGTCCTGCTCCATGGGGCTGGGAATATTTACTCCTCTTTCTCTTCACCCCTGCTGCATTGTTTAAACTAAATACTTTTGACTCCTTTGTGAAGTGCCTCAGCCAAACTTGCATCAAATAACTGATGATGCTGTTGAACTTGTTATCGTCTGTTTTATTGAGTCTTGAGTTCATGTTGTTGAGAGAAGACAAGCTATTCTGGACAAATGAGGAACCGAGAACACATCAAATTCATCGCGTGCAGGACTGGGCTGTTCTTTGTAATGCATCAAGGTCTGTGACTCATATGCCATCCCACTCATGTTATGCAATTGGCTGACACCCTCTATTTCTGAAAGGAAGTATGTATGCATAAATTGAGATATCCCTTGGGATCCTTCAGTTTCAAAGGTGGTGCATACCTAGTGATATGTAGCGTACAGACATTGGTGAGCTCCATGGGTGAAATACAAGACGTCCATGCAATGACAGGGTGACTGAATTTCATGTACTCACTGTGCAGTGGGGAAATGAAATCTCTCTGCTACCCATGGGAGGTTGTGCCCTCTGCAACTGGTACTTCCACCTTTGACTAGAATCCAAGCTGCTGCTCTTCTGATTTCTCCTGGATGGGGATTCCTACCCTGGGATTATGCACGTATACAAACACTCAGTCACTGTAGCTTGCGGAGGCAGGTAAACCACTGAGAGCAAAATATTGTTTCTTTTAATGATAGTTGTGGCACCATATAGTCATTGGTATACACTTGTTTCATTTATCCAGAACAGCCCCCAAATAGTTTGCGTACTTCCTGCAGGTGCTAGATCTGAGAATAATTGCTTGCTACAACCAACAGCAGACAGATAACTGACAGAAAACCACGCAGAAGAGCTTTATGGATCTGTGTATCTTTTTCACTCTAACCATCTTTTAGGATTAACAATGTCCAGACATGTCCTCATCTGCCTAGCTCACAGGACCTCATGGGACTCCATCTTGCCCCAGAAGCAGTAAACGACTTCACACTGGGCATGTTTACATGAGACATTTACTGCACAGTAGTCTAATAACACTGCAAAGTAGCATGCCAGTCAAAAACTGTGCTAATACACTACTGTTCATTGCTATTAGGCTACTGCGCAGTAAGCATCACAAAAAAACGTGTGCCAGCACTGCTGCACAGTAACTGTAGTTACTGTGCATTTAGTTAGTACTTCATTAAGCAGCTGGGGGGTGCACAGCTGCGCCGGTGGTGGCAGGAGCCCGGCAGCAGGGAGCAAGGAGCTTCTGCAGACACTGCTAGCACTGGCAGCGGGGGGCTGAGTACCGACCACGGGTCAGTGACTACCTGCAGGCGCTACTGGCAGCATAGCCAGGAGCGATTGGGGCTGCCCACTGACACCGTCAGTGGTGCCAGTGGCAGGGTGACAAGCAGCGACCGCCTGTAGGTGCCACCAACAGTATTAGCGGTGCCTTTTTGGAAGGGATACACTGCCGCGTGTAGTGGGGTGCACATGCACCCGCATGCTCCCCCTACGCGGCATCCCTGGCGCATTAATGAACATGTAGATGTGGCCACTGGGCACGTCCACACATGCAGGTAACCAGAAGCAATAAGCTCCAGAGCTTACTCAACCCCTCAGTAAATGTCTTGTGTAGATGTGCCTGCTGGGAACAATTAGCTCTGCAGCAGTGGACTAATTAGCTTCACAATAAACACTGCAGGTCTACACATGCAGCCCTATTAGGCTGGAGTAAACTAATTAACCCAACAGCAGGGTAGTACTTGTAAATACAGAGCACCTGGACACATGCCCAATGCCTGCTCTGACCCATACTAATTAGCACGTGTCAGAGCAGACTTGATTAATTGAGTCTACAGGAGTGTGCTAAGTAACACTCTTCAGCAGCCTCAGCATCTTGTGTATTCAGCGTTCCTGTGCTTCAAAATGGCAACAGTGGCACTTTAACTAAAGCTCATCGAGCAAGCTTTAGTTAAAGCACCCCGGCTGCCATTTTGAAGCGTGGGACACTGAATACATGAGATGCTATGGGTGCGTTAATTAGAGCAGCTCCCGAGAACTGCTCCAACTAAAGCACCCCCCCCCAAACCCTGGATCATGTGTAAGGACGCTCTCAAGTCCTTTTCTGCTGCAGAGATTGTTAGTCTGCAGCAACGCATGCATAGATGCTGCCCTGGCAGGCTGGTGGCATGAGGGTGCTTC